ACCTGATGCGTACCATCCCTGAGATCCGACCTCTCCTCCACCCCCTGGAAGAAGCAATCAGTATCAAGTTCATTCCCAAACTAGTGAAACACCACGACTTAACCCTAGCAGAAAGAACACTTCTTGCACTTCCACCAAGACTGGGAGGGATGGGACTAACTAATCCAGAGGAGATTGCTGACTCTGAACATCAAAATTCACTTAAGCTCACGGCAGCCCTCACTGACCACATAATCGCCCAGAATGCAACAGGGGAAGTGGACACCAGCGAAGTTAATAAGATCCGTAGGTCCATTACAACAGATCGGCAGAACTGCCAAAATGACATGTTGCAGCAACTATTGCTGCTGGTTCCAGAAAATTTGACAAAAAAAGTAGCTATAGCGCAGGAGGTGGGGGCCTCGAACTGGCTAACTACGTTACCGATAAGGGCAAATGGTTTCAGCCTTAACAAACAAGAATTTACAGATGCCATTGCTCTAAGGTACGGTTGGCCAGTAGATGGTTTGCCCTCCCAATGCGTGTGTGGCTATTCCTATGATGGCGATCACGCCATGGTTTGCAAGAAGGGGGGCTTCATATGCATGAGGCATGAAGAGGTAAGGGATCTCACAGCAAATATGTTGAAGGAAATCTGTCGGGACGTCATGGTAGAACCGACCCTCCGTCCACTGGATGGCGAGATCTTCCAACACAGGACTTCAAACACATCTAACGAAGCCCGTGTGGACGTCAGTGCTCGAGGATTCTGGACGCGGGGACAGCGAGCTTTCTTCGACATCAGGATTTTTGATCCCATGGCCGTTTGTCACCGTAACCTAGCTCTCGATGCTGCGCATAGGAGGAACGAGAACGACAAGAGAAGGGCATATGGGGAGAGAATTCAAAATGTTGATCAAGGCAGCTTCACTCTAGTGTTCACAACCTCTGGTGGATGTGGCCCAAGTGCAAGATGTTTCTACGCCAGACTTGCGGAGCTGATCTCCGAACAGAAGCAGCAGCCCAGAAGTTATGTCACAGCCTGGATGAGATGTCGACTGTCCTTCTCTCTCCTTCGGTCGGCTTTGCTCTGCCTCAGGGGAACGAGAGCTTCTGCCCCTACTCCGACAACTGCTGCAGATATCGACTATGAGGCTACAGTCACTGAATGCCGCATAGATCTGCGACTCAACTAATTTAACACAGATAGGATAGTTTCTTATGTATTAGGATATTTAATATTAAGGTAAATAAATGGTGGCGAAGGTGTGGCTATTGGGGAGGCTGGAGGCCACTGCTTAAAAAAAAAAAAAAAGTGGTAGTAATGGTGGTGGTAGTAGTAGTATAGTACTATTGGTATTAGCACTAATCACCTCCAAACTTTCCTCCTGCTTTTATCATTGTTTTCCCTATTTATCATTTTTTACTCTCCTCACACTGTCTCTCCTTCCACGCCTGTCTCCTTCCCACTTCTCTCTCGTCTTCCCCCTCACCCCCCACATAAGAACAAGGCAGAATTACCTTCCCCCAGACGAAAGATGATAAACCACTCTCAGTGTATCCGCCTGCAGAATATTGCCACACAGGGAGAAAACTTCCACGGAACCCAATATAGCCATCAGGGACGTGGAAATGCTGTTGAAAGGAAGCATTTTGCCTCTTGGAGCGTCTCTGCATCCAATTTGGTGCATAATAGTGGATGGCTGGGAGGTGAAGGAGCATACACAAAAGGGGGAGGGAGTCGGGTCCATTGGTGTCACTTCTCAACCCCACCTCCTTCCTCCTTACCTCTTTTCTGTGTATGTCTGTAAATGGAGGGAATATGTCTGTGTCTGTCTGTGTATATACGTGGATGTGTTCTCTTTCCCTACATTCTTGCTACATTTCTGGACGTCTGTGTAGGAGGCCAGGCTTTCAGCGTTTGTGACACCCGCTGGTGATAATCCTCGAAAGCATTACTACCCTGCAAGATTTAAAGTAATGTGTCTATGTGCTTTCATCATTTGTTGTCTCTTTTTTCTTTTTTTTTCTTTCATCTTTTGGCTTTTACCTACAACTCCCGGGAGACTGACAGTCAAATCTTTACCCACTCCTCAGCCACCTTAACCCATCCCCATTCACCCACTCCTCACTCACCCTTCACCCATTCCTCATCCACTCCTCACCCACCCCTCATCCACTCCTCACTCATCCCTCATCCACTCCTCACCCACCCCCTTTCGTACACACACACCTGACTATTGGTGGTATATCCAGACGGGTTAATTCACATGTGTCCAGACCTGGCTACTATATGCCACCTGGGTGTGAGTTGCACCTGTGAATTGTATCCCTGACTGCATAGCTCATACAGGTTTATTTCCCATATATTACTTTATTACGTTTTCTAATTCGTGGTTTGTATTGTCATTCACTGCAATGTCATTTTGGGTGACGATCTTATAGCGTGACATTTAGGGAATGTAGTAACAAGGCAGCAGAGGCAAAAAATATAAAACAGAGGCCAGTGACATTTAAAAAATTTGTCACTGGAAATATTAGCTGAATATATCCGTGTTGATTGCTGGTATTACTGCGTATTACCCACTATGGTCATAACAAAGACGGGGGAAAGTGAATATTGAGCTTATATTTCAGTGTCTCTAATACATATATGGAAGTTACACACAATTCTTAAGTACGTAGATTTTAATGGGTGAGTACAAATATGTATTAGTGCCGAATTTCTGTAGAATATATACACATCACTGTACAACTGTAGATTATCAGGAATGTATTCTTATTTATGAACAAAAATTTGGATTGAAAATTAATATACAAATAGAATACTTTGATGGCATATGAGAAAAAGGTACACACACACACATACCCAGACTGACACGTACGCAAGCGCATACGCACGCACGAGCACACACACACACACACACACACACAACGGCAGCAACAGACGCCGAGGTTACCACAGGAATTCAACGAAAAAAACAAATATCCAAACAATTGTGTTGTGTGGCAGAGGAACCGTCGCTCACCGTGATAGCTTTAATAAAACACAGATCCACATGTGCCAATGGAATAGTGTGTCTCACTGAAGAAAAAAACATATATTTAGTTCCACCGCGGTCACTTAATATGTCGATCTTTCTTTTGTAAATGTATTCCTGGAGGTAGGGAAGAAACACATGCACTTTAACATTTACTTTTTTTTTTACAATTTACATTTATATACATTAAAGCATCACCAGTTACTTATATCTGTATTTTGTTGTCAAGGAGAGTTTCAATCTTCTCTTGCCTGTAAACTAACTCACAGGGGCGTAAGGCAACGGGCTCTTTGT